ATTGAATTTTTTATAAATCTCAAACAATAAGCTGTTATACGACGCAATTTTGCAAAACTATAGAACCAATCGATAAAATCCACCCTTGTCTCCGAGACAGTAAACAAAGTCTCGATTTATTGTTCTGGAATTGAATCTTCGTTAATAATTTTGTCGTTCAACGGCCAGCTTTCATTTGGCAAAGTCAACCAATTTGGACCATGCCACCATAATTTTTCATTTATTAATCTCGTTGGATCTACACCGCGCAACAAAAAATCTGCAGGATTCTCAATACCGCTTACGTGATACCAATTTGAAATATCAGTATTTCCCTGTATTTCGGCAACTCTGTTGGACACAAAAGTTTTCTACCTGCTCGGACAACCCTTAATCCATGCCAACGCTACTGTGCTATCCGTCCAAAAATACTGAGCATCGAAAGTTACGTTTAGAGAATCTCGAACCTTTATTATCAGCTAACTCAAGGTCATCGCACCGCATAATTCAAGCCTTGGAATCGATAATTTTTTCAGAGGAGCAACTCGCCTTTTAGAAGTGAGCAATCTGACTGTGACATTTGAAGCAGCATCACTTGAACGTATATATACGCAAGCACCATATGCTGCTTCGGAAACGTCACAGAAACCATGTAGTGCAATGCGAATAGGATTTTGACAAATCACGTGTCCAGGAATGCGAATTGTGCTAAGACTACTAAATTTTTTTTTTATTGATAACCACTTCGTTCTAAGATCCAATGGTATTGCTTCGTCCCATGCTAATCCCAATTGCCATAATCGTTGCATAATAACCTTCACATTCGTTGTAATTGGGGTAATTAAACCTAAGGGATCGAAAATTTGTGCCATGCACGAGAGAACTTGACGTTTCGTAATTTGTGAACCTTTAATTTTAAGATCCACACAGAAGGACAAATTATCCGTTTCTTGATTCCAAGCCAATCCTAGTTCCTTGAAATCCTCCACCGAAGTAATAATAAGATTTTCACATTCATTGGGATTATCACAGATTATTTTCAGAAACTCTTTATTATTCGAGGACCATTTTCGAAGTTCAAAACCTCCAGAAGCCAATATGCGCGTTAATTCACGTTGAATGTGAATTAGTTCCTCGAAATTGTCCGAGCCAGACAACACATCATCCACCGAAAAACAGTTCATGATGATATCACTAATCAATGGGTGATCTTCCCTATTTATTTTAGCCAATTCACTAAGGCACCTTATGGCTAAAAAAGAAGCCGAAGCGGTGCCATAAGTGACCGTATTTAATTCGAAACAATCGAGAGGGAGTGATGGATCCGATCGCCAAAAAATGCGTTGAAAATTCCGATCATTTTTATTTATTAAAACCATGAGATACTATTTGACTATATCGGCCGAAAATGCAAAAGTATATTTTCTAAAACACAAAAGAATAGCAACTATGGCCCTTTGAATTGTAGGTCCCACCAATTCAACATCATTTAAAGATTTTCCATTTGTTGTCTCTGACGAAGCATTGAAGACAACACGAAACTTAAGAACAGATGGCGTTATTCTAAGAACGGGATGGTGAGGAATATAATACGCTAAAACAGTGTTATTCTTATCACTAATTTTTGACATATGTCCAAGATCAATATATTCCTGCATAAATTCTTCATATTTCTTTTTTAAAAAACTATCCTTTGCAAGCCTTCTCTCTAACGAATGGAATTTTTTAATTGCAATTTCCCTAGAATCGCCCAAGATATTGTCCCCTTTTGACACAAATGGAATAGAGACAACAAACTGACCATTAGGCGTACGAAAAGTATTTTCTCTAAAATTTGTTTCACAAAGTTCTTCCGATGACGTCATCGGTTTCGATTCTAAGAATTTTTCCTCGACTTCCCAAAATTCGCGCAGTTGACGATCGAGAGCAGTATCCATACTAAAATGGCACAATTCATTTTGCGAACTATTTTTTGGAATCATTATTGGACCAGAAAGAATCCAACCTAAATGGGGTTTTTGCATTAATGGTAAATCATGTCCTAAACGAATTTGACCTTGGCTTAATAACTCCCAGAACAAGGATGCACCGATCAACATGTCTACTTGCGCGGATTCATTAAAATCAGGGTCGGCCAAAGGCAAATCATCAGGAATATTCATATTTTTACAATCAAATGTCGTTCCTGGTATATTTGAAGTGATGAGCGGTAGAACAAGACAGGACAAATTAGCTTTAAAGGAATTTAATCTTGAATGGATATTGACAGTCACGCGTTTGTTTATCTTAGTCACTCCTGTACCTATCCCGGAAACACCGATATGTACCGGCCTTGTGGTCAGCTGTAGTCTGTCACAGAGCTCTTGGGTTACGAAATTTGATTGAGAGGCGGAGTCAAGCAGCGCGCGCGCTTCACACATTTTTCCCTTTCCATTACTGTCTTTTATAATCGCAGTTGCTAATAAGATTTTCTTACGCATTTCGTTCAAATTGCACACTGCTACAATGTTTGATGCAGTTATTTGGGGAGATGGGCTTGCAGTTTGCTCTGTACCGAATTCCAAGTGCAATATGGAATTATGACGTTTATTGCATATATTACATGATAACTTGCTTCTACAATCCCGAGTTTTATGTCCCGCCTTTAAACAATTTAGACAAAGATGAAGCTTTCTTGCTTCTTGTATTCGTTCATTTTTAGGAAATTTGAGAAAATCGGAACAAGATTTGATTTGGTGAGAACCCTTGCAAAAGGAACAATTTTCGCCATTAGTAGTAAGGAGAGTTTTGGTGGAATGACGCATGCGCTTAGCACTCGGAATTGAATTTTTATTTGACTTAACATTATCCTTTTTTATGCTTTGGAGAACTTGACATCGATCATTTAAAAATTTTAGCATTTCTTTGAGAGTGGGGATTTCATTAGCATAATTTATCCCCTTCCAATCCCTGAGTGTGATAGAGTCTAATTTTGACGTGATTATATATATAATTATAGCGTCCCAGGAATCAACAGACAGTCCTAACGCTTTTAATAAACGCAAATGCTTTTCTACAGTGGCATATAATTGGCGAAGGCCAGAATATGATTCCTCCTCCAAAGGAGGTATATCAAAAATCGCGTCAAGATGACTTCCAATTATTAAATTTTTATTTTCGTACCTCTCCTGCAATAAATCCTAAGCTATGTTATAATTTACTTCGGTAGTTTCTAATGATTGGATTTGATCCGCGGCTTCCCCGGTTAATGCTGAGCGCAAGTAGTGAAATTTTTCAATTTTCGAGAGTACCGCGTGATCGTGAATCAGCGATTTGTAAGTGTCCCGGAAATTAAGCCACTGTTCATATGCCCCCGAAAAGGTGGGAATGCTTATAGTTGGTAATTTTACTTGGTTTTGAAATGAATAACTTGGCGATTGAGCACGAATATCATTGCCGACATTTGTCGATTCATTTGAAAGCGAGCCCTGAGACGGAATGTTAAGTTTTCTTTTAATTAAATTATTCGCAAAACCGATCGCGGCATAAAAGGACTTCCCAAAGGATTCCGTTTTCAAGACATATTGCTCTTCACAATTCTCTAATTCAAGAATTTCGTTTTCAATCTCGACAAAATTGTCTAAAAATGTATTAGCTTTTTCTACTCTAGCTTTTAATTCTTCGATTTCGTCCTCGTCAACTTTGAAAGCACTCAAAAAAGTTCTAAAACGCGTTAAGTTCCCTTTAATTATTTTTCTTTTTTGTTTAAGTGATTCAATGCTTAAAGACATTTTGACTTTATTTTAATTTTCGACAATGCAAATTTTAAATGAGATTAAAATCACACAAAATATAAAGAAAATAACAAGAATCATGACACAGACAGCAATTTACCATTTACAATTTTACAATATTGCGAAATTGAAGAGGACTGGCAGTTGATAATCTCCGGTTTCGAAAGATGGAAGAATGCCCCTTGTAGGCTCCAAAAACTAGACGCTGATGCTTTGCTGTACCCACGTAGCCGTAACGATGAACAGCTCCAACATGGCGATGATCAAAGCGTGATTATTTTTTATTTAATCCGGCTCGAAGGACCATGTATTTTTTCTCGAATTAAATCGTACGGCGTCAGGACAGGTAGAACTCAAAAAAGAAGACTTCTTCTGTTGCTGCACGTTTTCTCAATATGAGAAATATGGTTTTATTTGTAAAGACAAATTTGTAAATGCGTGTGACTAGTTCACTGGTTACTTTACAAGAAGAACGAATCTCCCTTCAATCGTCACGAGTCTCGCGTCTTGGCGCGAAAAAGAATATAATTTTGGTGAGACTTGCGCATCAAAATACTTTGCGAGACAGTTCATACGACGGCCGGTTGGGAACGTAAACATCTATTTTCTTGATTTAGGGTAATAAAGTTTTGTATGATAAAATGATAAAGTGGCGAATAATATTACCAATAATTAAAATTGTGCTAATTTCAAACACAATTTGTAATCTTAATATCACTTTTATTACTCCTACTTACACACCATCTGATATAAGATGTATGCAATATTGAGTATATAAAAAAATGTTTATTAAGAATATATTGAAAAGTTTAAAAAATCATTTTTACACCTCACGTTAACATTAAAAATTTTAAAAATCGATTCTAACAGGTCTCTCTTTAGAATTTAGTTTTAAGTTAGGGGGAAAAGAATTTTTAATTTGTGTGAAAATTGTGGTCTAAAAGTTAATTTGAACCAAATTTTGTCTTTTTATCCCACTGTGGGTAATTAAATTATTAATTTTTTTTAATATATTAACAAAAATGTTGTTAAGTTTTTCAATATAATTTTTTTTCTTTTAAAACGCTATTCCAAACAATATAAATTTATTATAATTATTATTGATTAAAAAATTTAATAAATACGCTTAAGTATTAAAAAAATATGTATTATGCTTTGTAAAACATGTGACATCACAAATGCGTGATTACCCCCCTGTCACATTCTGTCACATTTAGAGTGTGATGGAATATGTGGATGGCCCCTTACCTTAAGCGTATCTTTTTCCTCCATGGCAATGCTTCCGCCGGGATCAGCCTCGGAAGTGCTTACGTCACTGGCAAAGTCACAGGTGACAATTGGAATTTGAACTGGCTGATTTTCGATTGTCGCCACGTTTTCCATGGTTGAACTCGGCATTTTTCTTGTGCCAGTTGGTGGTGTGCTTTGAGTGAAACTCGTCTGTCGGATATCCTGTGACTCGAGTTGTATCGTAGGTCGTGGACGAGGCTGCTTCCGGATTCCACGTCTCGCTCGAGCTTTTGCAGCAAAATAAATGCGTATGTAGACAAAGACCATAATGCACGAGGGGATGTAGAAACTACCTAGCGCCGAGTAAAGCACATATCCTATGTCTTCCGATAACTGAAACAATAAAAAAAAGTTATTTTTAATCATAATATACCGTTTTTTATTTTATTTATTATTTATTAAACCAACTTTGGATATTTTTAATAGGTTTTGGATATTTTAATCCAGGAATAACATTAAATTCGTCAATATAGTACAAAATTAGTAGTAAATGTGCACTAGTAGTTAATGACATATTTACAATTCATTTTCAAGAAAGTAGTTTAGCCAACTTCACAGGCTTATTTTGTATTAAACTAGCTGTCGGACCCGTCTTCGACGGGTTTTAGTTTCTGCTAATACATTTGATAGGGTGTCTACCAACCGGGAAATAGCCGGTAATTAAATTTTACTGGGAAAAACTAATAATTAGTTACCATTAACTATTTCGTTAGGAAAATATTACTACACGGAAAAAAATTATCTGTTAATGATTACAATAGTCGAACAGTACTGTGTGGACCGTCCAGATAAATCCCATATAATCATAGAATACAGTTAGACCGTCCAGATACATCTAGTTTTGTCAATAACTGGACACAAGACTGCCCCGAAATTTTTTTACACAAGAAAAAGTGAAAATAGAATATATTTTCTCAAAATATCGTAGCAAATTAAACGAAAATATTTCTATGTATAAATTTTTGAATGTAAATTTCACGTATAATGCATCGTCGTGAAATAAATTTCTTATCAACGTTCGTATGTACACTGTATAATATATTATATGCCCTTTTATACAGTTTCCTGCGTATAACTATTACACTTTGATTTTAAACGATGGCCTTGGGGGCTCGTATTCTTCAAATAACCAAATTTAAGGGGCCTTTAACTATAAAAGTTTTAGTGCCTCATTAATATATAGAGAGCGGAAGTATATACATAAGTACAAAAGCACTTTTTATCGATTTCATATAAAAATGACGTGTGGCCCAATTTCAATTTTTCCTCATTTTTAATATAAATTTTACGGTCCACATGACAGTCATGTCCCATTATAAAAACAAAAAAAATGTGTATGCGCATGTGTATCCCGTAATCGTACACATCCCATTAGAAAGAAAATTTTAATCATATACATACAGCTATTCTTTATTTTGTGAATGATAATAATACCTTGTATTGTTTGTCTTTTTTAATGAAAAATTTAGCGCTCTTTGGGGTATTAAAATTATTTGTGTTTGTTTTTATCATTTCCGGTTAATGGCGTATAAAATAAGGTATTTAGTATAGGTACGTATATGAGTGATGATAAAAATCTTTTTTCAATTTAATAAATCTGAATAGGCGTAAAATTGATAACTTTACCTTTTGATTTAGATAACTTTTTTTCGTTATTTTTGTGCTTTATTTGCAAAATGTGAAAATTTATGATGGAAAAAGTAAAAAAAAAATTATTATTGTACAGAAAGAGGGAATATGACATATAAAAATATGACGTATTTTTGTTCATGATATGTAATGGTTTCGATTTTATTTGAAAACGTTAATATATGTATATGTGCTTACGGAGATGAGTTGAGAGAAAACTATTTTAGGTAGGGGAGAGTGGGGCAAACCGGACCCCCCTCAATATTTTCGAAATGGCGAAATCGGAAAAAGTGTTGTTTACAAATTTAAAACAACCATGTTTAGTATACCTTATTTTTTCAATCTGACAGTTTTAGCTTACGTTTGTGCGACAAAGGGAGGAAAAGTTTTTTTCTTAGTTTTTTTCTACACTTTTACGAATTTTTTCTTAAGGAAATTCTGAGTAAATCGTGTAATGTTTTCAAATATTAGGTCTTAGGTTCTGAAGGTACACACCTCAGGAATATTTACCACCAAAAATTTTGATGAATTTGCAAAGCGTTTCTTTTTGACAAACATTTATTCTCAAAATGGGCCTGTGGGGCAAACCAGCCGTAGGATATTTCCATTGAATTAGTTTCATAAAAATTTTGTTTAATTAAAATGTTTCTTTTATTAAAATATTTACTTACAATGAAAAATAATTGTATTCCAATGAGAATTGCACTCTTTAATATTGTTTCTGTGATAATGACAAACATTTTAATTTTTTTATTAAAAAAAATATTTATTTAATTAAAATTCAATCCCGTATTATTATTTTCATTACTACAACCATTGTTTACATGATTCTTTATGTTTTTTATTATTGTAGATTATGTAAATGCAATATTATAAATAAAAAACTAAACGGTCCGGATTGCCCATGGGGGGGTCCCAGGGGGTGGGGCAAACCGGACCGTTTGCAAAATTTTTTAAAGTTAACACAGCAACTAAACAATAAAAGATAAAGTATAGGTGTCTCTGGGAAAAAGTTGCGCAATTAAATGATCTTTCAAACAAGCCATCGAAAAATGAAATCGGTTGATTCGTTTTGTCAGAAGAGTCAAAAAACCGTTAGGGGGTCCGGTTTGCCCCACTCTCCCCTATATAAATTTTTATTTTCATATGAAAAAAGAGATCTTTTAATTTTTTTAGAATATAAAAGTTTTTTTTTATACTTACATTTCTTCAAAGCATACGTGAGTTTTGCTGTAATTATTGATTTTATGTAGAAAACGCTTTTTTTGGTCGGTTACTTTTTTTAATCCTTTTTTTTAACCCGGCAAGCGTAAGGCAGGGTATTTTTTACCCTGAATTGATTTTCTATTTGCATGTTAAAAAAAATCTGCTATCTGAAATCGCCACTTTTGTGCATTAGGAATAAAAAATATCGTAAGTAACACGAGAATCAAGGCAGCCAATTTCTTTACGATGATTTTTGTGACACGAGTGGAGATCTCGGGGCACCCTTGACCTCCACTCGTGTCACAAAAATCACCGTAAAGAAATGGCTGTCTTTATCCTCTTGTTGCTTAATATACTATTGCATTTTTACTTGCGTTTAACCTTAAATCACAATATTAACTTTTTACCCATTGCACCTAAAAAAACCCAGTTTTTTCTAATTTTGAAATTTATGGAGCTGCTTATCATAACCGATAAATATTAAATGTCAAATCGATATTTTAACAAATGTTTATTGTTGTTAGTTTGTTATTTATTAACTAGAAAAAAATTGCGTCTTTCTAAGTGCAATAGAAAAAAGTTACTAAATAACAACAATTATTTGTTTAAACAATTGCTAAAATAGTGATTTGACATTTAAAATTTATTGGTTAATATAAGTAGGTCCGAATATTGCAAAATTAGAAAAAAGTGCATCTTTCTATGTGCAATGGGTAAAAAGTTAAGGGGTTATACTACCCAGCAAAAGATTTTTTTTCAATTTTTAATATTGTACTAAATGGTACATAAGAATGATATGTAACTTTTTACATGATAATTTAAAATTTTAAACATATTGTAGTTTGTTGATAATTTTTGGGGGTACAAATCAGTTTAATTATAATACAAAATTTAAAGCATAAATATAAAGCAGTGGTTATGTGCTGCTGGAATATCAAAGTAAAAGTGAAAAAATTGTTAAGGCCATGTTATTCAGTGTGATGTTTTTCCATAGTAAAGTATATGGGGCACGTGACCACTGAATAACATGACCTTAAGTCGCTATTTTAAATATGTCATATAGTAAATGCATCCTGAAATTTCAAATGCGTTTTTTCAAAACTGCGTACACTGTAACTCACTCAATTTTTGACGGATTCATTTGAAATTTTAACTGTAACTTTTCAGATAAATAATCTAGGGAAGTACACACGCTTTTTAAGATTCATAAATAATTAAGATTTAATTAAGATTGTTCCGCGATATTTAATTTAAATCATTTTTTTAATCAAACAGTTTTCTAATTACAAATCGAGGGGCTTTTTAATTCTTAAGGTTTGTAATAAACCATGAAAGCAATTTTCATGCTCATGATGATTGCTGTGCACTTTCTAAAAGAGTTCTCTCTCTCTCTCTCTTTTCATACTGTGTGGTTACAATATATATGTGTGACTTCATCTCTTGTCTCTGAGGAAACAGTATTTTTTATTATTCATTGAAATTTCGAAAAGACAAGTAAGTATTATGTAAAATAATACACAGAAATCTTTGCGCGAAATATATATAGGAGGAAAGGGCATGCATATGCATGAGATTTCTTCCCGTCACTCTTCCTCTCTTCTTTTATCTAAAGGCGGTTATGTAAAAATGTAACAGGTTCGTAAATTGTCCTCATTGCATTTCTTCACTCGTTATCTCAGGATCGTTTTCACAGATTTTGCAATACACAAACCCACTATTAAAATGAAAATGACAAATTTTCATTTTTAAATTTAAAAAAAAGGGTTTTTTCTCCTTTTTTGTCATTTTGAAAATTGAATTTGTGAATTTATGATGCTAAAAACAAAGGTCTACAAATTCGGGTCAGCTTTTGGTCGCAAAAAGGCAACAACGCTTTTTGACGTATTTTTTACACTGATAGAATTTGCTTCAAAATTGTTAATCAAAGGTTTTTGATGTCACTGATTACGAATCTGAAGTTCATTTTAAAGATTCAAAATGGCCCATCTAATATGGCTGACGAAAAAATTAAAAATTTGCTTGAAACTTATTACTCCGGGGTTTTTGGAGTTATTTTGAAATATTAGAATCATATTCGCAACCAGAAATCCTCAAAAATCCTCAAGTAACAAGTTTCGAGCAAATCCGATTGATTTTCAATTTTTTCTGTCAGCCATATTTAATCCGCCATTTTGAATTTTAAAAATCTGACTTCATATTCGTAATCAGCGAATAATAAATAACTAATAAAATAAAAAAGGAATAATTAAAATCTCTAAAATATACTCTCTAAATTTGAATTAGTAAACTGAGAATATTTACTAATTTGAATTAATGATTGAGTTTTTGCTTTCGAATTAGTAAATTTTACTAATAAATTAGCAGAACTTATTATTTATTAGCAAATTGTACCAATTTAAAAGCAAAAAGCTAGTTACTAATTATCAATAATTACTGATAAATAAATACTACTAAGTACTGATTAATAACAATAACAGATATATAGATAGATAAGATGGATAATTAGAAGAGCGAGTTGAATAATTAAACTGAAAAAATATTGTATTTGTGTGAAAATTTTTGTTGTCAGTGTTTAATAATAATTTATATATTTGTTCGCGATATTGAGATAAACAAGAAGGATGAATTATTAACAGGATATAAAATGTTACGCAGATATACGTATATATATGTATTTGGAAAGTAAAGGGCAATCTTGTATAAATTGATGAAAATTCATGAAACTATGAATAATAATGTTTACGCTCTCTAGGCTAAAAAAAGTTGAAGAGTGTATTTTGGCTCCGAGAGGAGAAAATGCCAAGCAAAAAGAAATTCATTAAATGGTTATAGCAACCTGTTGTAATACAAACAACTAACTGGATTATGGTCGTCGGAAATTACGATCGCTTATGACACTAAGGAAATTCAATTTATGTTTATATACCTATAATGCCACGGAGAAATTACTAGTTTTAATAGTAAAATATTTCGCTTCAATTTTGATATCAAAAACAGTTTTCGAAGTGCACTAAATGTTTATAATTTTACAATACTGTTTCCTGTGTTACTAAATGGAACTTTTTATTATGGAATTTTTTAAAATTCCATTTCTTATAAATTTTATTAGCAATTTTTTATTTGAATATCATTTCGAATTTCTACAAATTTAATTTCGAATTATTTATACAGCAGATCTTTTGGCGAGGGAAAGGGAAGAAATGTTTCTCTTTTCTAAAGAAAGCAGTTCCTTAGATGAGGAAATAAGACCAAGCAAGGGCCTGATCCGCAAAGAAGCGAGGCACAGGCTCATAGAAAGATGGCAGGAAAGATGGGATGGTGAGGAAAAAGGTCGATGGACTTATCGCCTTATCCCGGCACTCGCCACCTGGATAAATAGGAAACACGGTCAGGTTTCCTATTATATGACTCAGGCGTTCACAGGTCACGGGTGTTTCAACTCGTACCTGTGTCGCTTTAAATTACGCGAGAA